TATAAATAAAAAAAGGCAAATGTATCCTAATTCTATAATTTTAAGGATTAGTGTCATGAGGAAAACAACTGAGGCGTAAGCCTAGGAACAAGAACAAGTGTTTATTAAATTTAGGGATGATTGCTAGTTGCCTGTAACTGTGTAGAAAGGGAACTCTGGGGTTTTTTTTTTTGTCTTTTTCCTTTTTATCGGTACCGGGGATTAAACTCACGACTGCCTGCTTGCAAGACAGGTGCTTATGCTGCTGAGCTAAATCCCCAGCCCCAGAAAGGGAACTCTTAACAAGCACCAGTATCAGCTCTTTCAAACTAATTAGCATCTTCTATGATGGCTTTGGAGTCACTGAAGTCCCCCAGCCGTCTGAACCAGCTTCTCTGTGCAGACTATGTCCAGCTACATTGCCCAGCTCTTCTCTTTCCCCACAGATGAGGAGAGAGTGATTGGTTTTGCCTCAGTGGACCTCTCGCCGCTGCTCTCTGGCTTCCAGTTTATCTGTGGCTGGTACAACATTACAGACTTCAGTGGAGAGTGCCAAGGGCAAATAAAGGTAGCCATCTCCCCTCTGGAGAGTTTGATACACTTCAAAGAAGAGAGGCAAGCAAGACGTGGGATGGAGACCCAAGCATCACTGGTATGTGCTGATCACACCTAACTAGTAAGGGTTCTACTGAGCAAAACCGACACACAGGTTCTTTACATTCTGAGGTACTTTCCATCTTACAGAAGACATGATACATGGATTGATGTCTCATAACAACCTCTTTACCTTTGAGAGGTAATGAAAAGGTTCTGGAATTAGACAGTAGTTGTAGAACAGTAAATATGTATGAAAACTATGAATAAAACATTTTTAAGGGGTAAATTTAATAATATATGAATTATATATCATTTTTAAATAAAAGTTAGTTGAGGTATAGAATTTGAAACCATATCCATTGGGGCGTTTTTGTTTTTGTTTTTTTAATTATGTTAAAATTCTGGGGGTTTTTTGGTTTTTGGTTTTGTGCTAGAGATCAAATTCATGCCTCAGACTTGCCAGGCAGGCACTTATGCCACTGAGCTAAATCGCCAGTCCCTGTTATAGTAAAATCACTGATTTTTTAAAATTTTATTTAAAGAAAGATTAAACAAAACAGAAAATAGGTAGAAATAACACATATGTTCAGAAAAAAAAAATAAACAGTAAGAAATCACTAGTTGATGTTTACATATTGTCATTTTACAATAGTTGTTCAAGGTACAAGAGTGGAATATGTAAAGTGGGAATTCAAACAGCAAGTCTGCAAACAGTTCTGTTCAACTGTCCAACAAAAACTTAGTACCATGGTTGTCAACCCTATACACTTAAACATACATGCAATTATCCATATCTTCAGTTATGTTTAGATTTAACAAACTAAAGCAGGTTAAAATCATTCTGAACAAAGAATGATAGTATTGCTGGGTTTCACATCATGACACTCCATGATCAGCACTGGGTACTGTAGTGTCTTTTTTTTTTAATTTAATTTAAAGAAAGACTAAACAAAACAGAAAACAGGTAGAAATAATACGTAATTTCAAAGAAAAAATAAACAGAAATCACTAGTTGATGATTACAGATTGTCTTTTTTACAAATAGTTATTGAAGATAGTAAAGTGGAGTATATAAAGTGAGGATTCAAACAGTGAGATTGCAACCAGTTCTGCTCAAGTATCCAACAAAAACTTAGAAATATGGTTATCAATCCTATACATTTAAACATACATGAAGTTATCCATATCTTCAGTTATGTTGATATTGAATAAACCCAAGCAGGCTAATATCACTCTGAACAAAGAATAATACTATTGTTGGGTTTCACATTATGACACTCCAGGATCAGCACTGGGTATTTTAGTGTCTCTTTTTCTTCAAAGTATCTGTTCATTTCATCATGTGTCATAAGATCAGTTCTCATAAACTGTTTACAGACTGTACACATGCATACGTCTTAACATGTATTTCTATCCTTTAGAGGGAGAAACAAAACAAAGCATGGCAAAACAAAACATATACCTATAAACACATGAAATGAAATAAACATATAAGACGGTTGTACAAAGAGTTCTACCATGATTTCTGTGTTGTCTCTGGTTATCTCCAATAGAACTAGCTATATCATCAGACATAGTATAATTGAATATATCAGTACATAACAGTATTAATAAAAACACAACTTTGTATATAGTATAGAACTTCAAAAACCGGCAGTTATCAAACCAGAATGTGTATCGTAGAGTCGTGTCATCTTCAGTGCAGTTACCTATACTCTCAGACTTTGTTGAATAAAGTCTTCTCTGCCTCATTTCTGTTATGCTCTTGTTCGCCATAAGTTGTTTGCTTATCTTCTTCATTCTGTTTTCTTCTCCATTCATTGAGGCCTCTCTGCCACTGTTTCTGGAATCCTAGTACTTTTCTCTCTCTCTAGAATGCCCTACAGTATTCTTGGTAGACTTGGATTGGTGGTTGCGAATTTCCCAAGTTCCTCTTTGTCTTGGAAGCATCTTGTTTCTCCATTAATTTCTAGAAACAGTTTTGCAGGGTATATCAATCTGGGCTGGAGGTTATTTTCTTTCAGGGCTTGGAATATTTCACTCCAGGCTCTTCTTGACTTGATGGTTTGTGTCAAGAAGTCTGCCATGGGCATTCTTCTATAGGTTATCAGTTTCTTATCTCTAACAGCTTTTAATATTTTGTTCTTATATTGAATTTCTGGGATTTTGATTATTATATGCCTGGGTGTAGCTCTGTTTTGGTTGTAGGTGGCTAGAGTTCTGTATGCCTTATATATCAGAATATCATTTCCTTTTCCTATGTTTGGGAAGTTTTCCTTAATTATTTCTGTGAATAACCTTTGTAATTTCTTTGTTTGTATCCCAGCTTCTTCATTCACATTCTTTATTCTCAAGTTATAGATCCTTTTGTGATCGTCTAGCCTTTGTATTGTTACTGCTTGTTTCTTTGTTATTTTTAAAAAGTTTTTCCTTTCATTATCCCACATTTCAAACCTGTCCTCCAGTTTGGATAGTCTATCCTTAGTTTCTTTTAAACTGATTTGCCGTCTTTCCATAGAGTTTTTAGTTTCCTGGTGATCTCTTTGAATCTGCTTCATGTATTCTATATTTTTTTATATTCTTCATCAAAAGGTTCTCTCCTTTGTTTGAGTTCCTCTCTTCTTCCATCTGTGTCTGCTTGAGGGGTGCTTAGTATCTCTTTAATTAATTTTCTTATATCTTGCTTTATTTGGCTAAATATTTCACTTTTGAACTCATCTATGAGGTCCCAAATATATCTCTTTATGTACACTGGCACTGTGTCTGATGTTGCATGTTTGTTGTTCTCATTCTCCTTTGTGTTTACCTGTCCTGGGTCAGTGTTCTCAGGGTTGGGAGCTGGGGACTTTTTGTTGTTGCTTCCTCTTCCCATCTTTTTTGTTTCTTCCAGGAGGCCCCAGTTTCTTTCTTTGTTGGTTACAATTCTTCTGAAGCGCACTGGCTAGATGACCCTTCCCACTGTAGTGTGCTAGTGAGTTGTAGACAGGGACAGCGTATGCTGGCCCCTCCCCTCCGGATCAGTCAAGCACTGTGGCCTGCACTGTATTACTTTGCATCATTCCCCCCCCCCCCCCGCCGTGGCAGTGGCTGGAGCACGGTGGCAGCACCGCCTCCCCTCCGGGCAGCAGGGTCAAGGGTGAGGGCAGCCGGTGGGCACCCAGTCACTCCTGGCCCATGGCGACAGGTCTTGCTGGCAGCCTGGAGGTGCCACAGGCCGCAGCTGTCAGAATTTCTTTTTTTAAAAAAGTTTTCTTGGACTGGGGATTTAGCTTAGCGGCATAAGTGCCTGCCTTGCAAGTATGCGGTTGTGAGTTCGATCCCCAGAACACTGTGGAGTAGATAATGAATGAAAACTTGAGCCAGAGGTAGGAGAAGCATGTGCAGTAATCATTGATTTTTTATGAAAAAGAAAGATTGGGAAGAAGAACTAGCAATGGTAATAGAGACAACTCTATCAAATAATTCAACTGTAAAAGAATAATTTTCCACATTATCCCAACTTTATTAAGGCAAAGGATTTGTTTTATTTACCTCTTTTACATATGCATGGACCCAAGGTCTGACACAAAGGGTATCAATAAATATCGAATGGGTAAATGCATAAGAAAATGACCAAGAGTTTATTGATCTTTTCTTAAGCTCGGTCCTAATAGACATGAGACAAGAAATAACTACAGTCACATTATCCTTACATGTAAACTAAACATCAGATGATTTCCAGCCAGTTACAAACTAGCTGGAGGGGCATAAATACAAAGCAACTGAAAAGCATCTGATAGTGCACTCTATAAAATAAGGACAGCAGCGCTACTGACCTCCTAAGATAATCATAAAGGTTAAATGAGAAGATTCAACACATAGAAAGTGAGACAAGGGTGGTGCCGCAGACCTGTAATCCCAGCACTCAGTAGGATGAGGCAGACAGCTCACTTCAAATTCAAGGGCAATCCTGACTACACAGTGAGTTTAAGGTCAGTTTGAGCAAGGGAATCCCAGTCTCAAAAAGCAAAACAAGTAAAAAAAGAAAAACTTACAGGCTCAAACATACATACACATACATACATAGAAGGTACTAATTATTGCTGGATGTGGTGGCACACTCTTATAATCTCAGACTTGGGAGGCTAATGCAGGAAGACTGCCATGCATTCAAGGCCACGCTGGACTATATAGCAAGACCCTGTCTCCAAAAAAAAGTACTCAGTATTATGTTAAATACATTTGGAAAATTTATTTATATACTTTGTTCCACGAGGGTTTATGGTAACCCATGTACCATTTTTGATTGCTTCTGCAGATCCCAGTGTACAGCCCCTTTTCTTTCCCTGCCTCTGATATGTATGCTGCATTCCCCAGTGGGATTGCAAGACACACTCAAGACCAGCTTACTCACACCTCTTCAAAGGACCTGGATTTCTCCTCTCTGGGAAAGTGAGTAATTTCTTTTTACCTTTTGGGTTTTTTTTTTTTTTTTTTTTTTTTTTTTTTTTTTTTTTTTTTTTTTTTATCGGTACCGGGGATCGAACTCACAACCACACACTTGCAAGGCAGGCGCTTATGACGCTGAGCTAAATCCCCAGGCCCCAAGTGAGTAATTTCTTAACAGGAAGAAATGGGATCAAAGAATAGAAGTCGATGAACTGGCTTACCATTTCTCTTTCGTTTGATAGAGGAAGAAACTGCACACAGAGGAGGAACTTTGTTGATCTCTCACACTAAGATCTATGGAAACAAAATTTCATAAAATAGGAGCTAGAATTTTTACTGCTATAAAAGGATCACTTTGGTGCCAGGACCACTCTTCTCTTATCCTTAAAAGTTTTAACCTATTTTAAGAAATATATCATCTTTCCTCTTCCAAAACTGTGTGCCAGGTTGCTTTGTAAAAAGCAGTTGGAGAGCTGGGAATATAGCTCAGCAGCACAGTGACTGCCTGGCAAATGTCTCATTTAACCTGAGTTTGATTCCTGATACAAAAAATAAAAGGGCTGGAGATGTAGCTCATTGACATAGCACTTGCCTGAGCCAAAGTCTTGAGTTCAATTCCCAGTACCCTGCCCCCCCCCCAAAAAAAATCATTGGGCCGTCTTTGTCATGACATGCACACACGACTAGAGCATGCTCCCTCTTGTCAGGACAGAGTCTAAAAGTAAGGTCGCTTTGTTCTACCCTGCTCCCTTGCAGGTCCTAGTACCCTCCACTGGGATCTTTCCCATACCTTTCCCCTGCTCAGGGAGGAAGAAGTATTCTCTCCTAGCAGCCACTGCTACAGCAGCAGTTTACCAAGTAGACCCCTTCCTCCAATACAGACACTCTTAGTAAAGCTTGTTTCTGAAACAGTTTTACTTTAGAATTCTTTAACACTATTAAAAATTATTGATGACCCAGAAAACGTGTAACCTTAGCACTCAGGAGGCTGAGGCAGGAAGATCACAAGACCTGCCAAATAAAAAAATTAAAAGCAAATAACCCAATTTTTAAATGCACAAAGAATCTGAATTAGGATTTCTGTGAAGATATACCAGCAGCCATTATTATAAGCCCATGAAAAGATACAAATCAAAACTATAGTTATGAATCCACTTCATATCCACTAGGGTGACTATAATTAAGATGACAAATATCACAAATGTTAAGAAGCATGTAGAGAGGTTGGAACCCTCATCCATTGCTGATGAGATTGTAGGATGGTACAGTTGCCTTGGAAAACAGTGTTGGTAGTTGTTTAGAAGTTTAAAGGTAAAGTAATCATATGATCCAGTAATTCTGTGCCTAGATATATACCCAAAGAAATATGTCCACACAGAAATTGTATACATATATTTGTTTTTAGGAGCATTTTTCATCTTTTTTTAAGAACATCATGCTGGGGAGTGGGGAACCAGTTAAAAATAACCACATTTTATATAATTGCATTCATGTGAAATCTAGAATAGGTAAATGAATAGAAGATTAGTGACTGTTTAGGGCTGAGAAAGAAGAATTGGGGAAATAGATGAGGGGTGACATGTACAGTACACAGGTCCCTAAATGTTCTAAACGCAGACCTTCTAAAATGACTGCAGTGATGTGGCACAAGTCAGTTAATGTACTAAAAACCATTAAACTGTACACATTAAAGGGGTAAAATGTATGTTGTATGAATGGAAAAAAAAAAAAAAAGAGAGAGAGTCCAATAAAGTGCCTATGAGGGCTCAAACTCCTGCTTCAGCCTCCCAGAATTCTGGGGTTACAGGTATGCACCTTCATGCCTGGCTGCACTGTATACTTTTAAGGAGGGTAATTGTGTGATTCATGAATTATATCAGTAAAGTGTTTATTTTAAAAAAGACATTGCTGGAGTCATATTCTTGAATACCATGCTTAGAAATCAGATGTTTGTTCCAGGAAAAATCAAAGCTAGAAAAGAATGAGGGTGATAAAATAGATTGTTATATATCAAAGGTTTATAACAAGGCTTGGCATCAAAATAAGAACTCCATGTAAATTATTGTTATTTTAGATCTATGTTTTAGAGAAATCACTCAGACTATAGTGCAGAGAATGGAAAAAAGGGGGGTGGGTGAGACTGAAGGCAAGATTACTTGGGAGACATTTGTAATCCAAGCAAGAACTGATAAAGCCAGAACTGTGGTAGTGGGGATAGCTTTGGAGTGCCATTTTAGGATAAGTTTTCATATTGGCGGGGAATTTATTTTGCTCCCATTTTCTTTTAACAGAAATAATACCATAAGAAGCCCAGCATCACGTCATGAAGAGCACGTGCAGAACATCCGCCGATTTCATGAATCCCTGCAGCAGGGCGACACAGTCTCAAAAAGTGAAAACAGACTCAACACGTTGCCTTTGTCTTCTAGCCCCTCCATTCTGACTTCTCTAAGGTGTGGCCTTGTGCTAAGGAAAGACATAGGAAGCTACATGCGTAGAACTGCACTTCCACAGCTACCCCTGCTCAGGAGGTTTAGTAAAAGGCGCTCGTGCATGTCCGTATTGTCTTGGACCTCGGAGCCTCATAGGATTCCTCACTGATGAATCCATCTCAATGTAGAACCATTCACTCTTTTACCAGGAAAGCTGTACTGCTGATCCATTTATAAGTACAGAAACCATCCTCACATCTGCTCGTCTTCACCTCTTTACACTTTACAAAGCCTGATCATCCTGCCCACTGTCTTTTTCTTCACAACCAGTAGCTTCTTCCACACTAGCATTTGTCCTGTCCCTTTCTTAGTTTAGTTAGCATTGAGCCAGAGAATCACTGTGAGAAGTGAAAGTGCAGTCATAGACCAGCAAGATCAGCCTCAAGGTTACCTAGTGAGAAGTGTGGCATGGGGAAAAGGACCCGGTTTCAGAGTTAGGTAGATAAGACCTTCAATCCTGGCTCTGCCATACCTAGTAGAAAAAATAACCATGCTGCCAGATACGATGCAGAGTAGTAAGAGCTGGAGGGCTCCTGGCCAGGAGTAGACAGTTACATTCTGAGTTAGACATGGAAAAATTCAGTCACATTTGAACTGGGCTTTGATGGAATAGGTTAATAAACATAAAGGACATTCTGTATACAAAGAATAGTGCCAAGAGTTAGAGCCATGAAACAAGTCAAATTTGGGGAAATACCAGTGCAGTTAGGAAAAAGTACAAGGAGCAGGGCAAGTTCCAAAGGGGTCAGATCGTGAAGGGCCTTAAATAAAAGGCTGAGTTTGACTTTTAAACAGTTTTTCTCAAGCAAAAAGTGGGAGGAAAGGAAGAGAGTTTGCAAAGTGTCAAAAAAAATTAAGATTGTATATTTGGAAAAAACTTAACCTATCCTTGAATTTCGAAATGCAAACTCAGGAAAGAAAATTTATGTCATTTTTTGCTTGAAACATACTAGAAAAGAATAAGCAACAAGTCTATGAGAAACTGCCTAAACTTACATTGCAAAGAAATAATGTGTTCTAATTCTCACCTTAGCTTGGTAAGATGCTATTGGTACAGGCTGTTGAAGTAAAATCATTAGTAGTTTGTCTTGTTTGTTAGATCATTTGAATATTTGGAACCCACAGTGGGAAGATAACTCTCCTGCACCCTAGTGCAGTTTCTCTCAATCAATGCCATTGATGTTTTGTCACGAAGGTCATTGCGATGTAAGATATTTAGCATCCCTGACCACTATACTCTATACCAGTAGCACTTTCCCATAGTCATGACAACCAAGTGTCCAGATATTACCTGAGTCCCCAGGCGGGGGGTGAAGGGGGGGGTGTCAAAATCAACAGGTTTGTTTGTTTCTTTTGGTTTGGTTTTTGGTTTTTTGAGGCAGGGCCTCACTATGTAGTTCAGGCTGGCCTTGAACTCACTATATAGCCCAGGCTGGCCTCAAACTGGCAGTGATCCTCCTGTCTCAGCCACCCAAGTGCTGGGATTACAGGCATGTGCCACTATACCTGGCAAAATCACAAGGTTTAAAACCATTATCGTAGAGCAGTGCTTCTCACAATTCATTAAATCAATATCATTTAAAAGACCCTAATAGAATACTGATTGCTAGAATTCATCCACACATTATTTGATAGAGCCTCTGGTGATAGAATAAAGATAAATTATATTCTCTCCTTGTATTTAAATTTGATTCTAAGATGTGCAGAGCTATTCCTAATAAAAGGACAGAAAGACTTCCAGTTTACTTCACTGGTAGTCAGTGCGTATGTTGTGCTAACTGTACCAGACACATTGAAAGTACTATAAAAATAGACATGTTTACAACATTATCTTCTGTTCCCAGATGCTTGCACCCAGTTAAGGAAACCAAAATAAGAAATAATGAAAAAATTAGAAATCTAAGACAAGGTGGGTAGAAATACTGACTGTGAAGGAGTAAATTTAAGGGAAAAATTACCCAGTGATCTGGAGTAATGAACTTTGAAAAGATGAAATGAGCTGCAGACTTGAATGGAAAGAGGAAATACAACCAGGAGTAGCTTGAACCCAAGATTCAGTATTAACAGGATTCAGTATCGGCAAAAGTGTGAGGAGAGTCGCCCCGCCTGGGAGAGAGCATGTCTGTTATGAGAAAAGCACAAAATTTAGAGTCACAAATTCTGAATATGCTCTCCTCGTCCAGTGCGAATCACTTGAATTCTCTAAACCTCAAGTGCTTTTAATAATTACTGGTCTCAGCTGGGCATGGTGGCTCACACCTGTAATCCCAACACTCGGGAGGCTGAGGCAGGAGGATTGTTGCGAGTTCGAGACCAGCCTGGGCTACACAGTGAGCTCAAGGCCAGCCTGAACTGCATAGCGAGACCCTGTCTTAAAAGGACCAAAAAAAAAAATAAAATTAATGGTCTCAATGGTCTCAATGGTAGGTTGAGACCTACCATTGGTAGGTCTTACTGGTCTCAATGGTAGGTTGAGAGTTAAACAGGGTACTATAATTGCAAACAATTGTATGCAACTGAAAGTTAGTGTGATTTCTCATTGGAGAGTGGTGAGAATATATGTAACTCCATTGAAAATCTTAAAGCCACTTATTCATGTTCATTTATCCATTCAGCATTCATTTATTTTGTGCCAAGCACAAAGAGTTATAAAAGAATCATCGTAGAGCTCATAGTACATGAGGGGAAATAGATGTGAAATAAACAAGTACTGCAGCTGAAGATTTACAGAGAGGACTGTGGACCTACGCATGGCGTCCCTGATCAAATGGTTTTGGTTTTTGTTTTTGTTTCTTCTTCTTC